CAAGCACAAGAAGGTGCGCCTTTTCCGAAGCTCTTACGTTCGCCGCGAATTATCCGTAATGACGGAAACTACTAGATTCACTTTATGTAACTACACCAAAATAACACCACATTTACCATTTTTATTTCGTCGCATCCGCAGCAAGTTCACAAACAGATAAGTTTGCTGGTCAACGACAAGAACCAGCAGCAGACAGTAGAGGTACAGCAGGACACGGAGGAGCACGACGAGAGCTCGCTGTTGGAAATTACTTCTGTTCCGAGCGTGGATAACGAACTGGAGGAGCGCGTCATCTACGTCACTTACGACGTGGACGAGTCTGAGCCGGCATTCCACATTCTGGATCCCGAACAGGTGAAACACCAGGACCCCAATTCTGCTAAAGCTTTTGAACCCAATGATCATTGTAATTCCTTTGAGACTCCACTGAGACTGTATTGCAAGTATAATAATATTTGTTACTCTGCTAAAATCTAGTTGCAGTGGCAGTTGAACCTCAATAGAGTGTCAGCTGAATGACAATGATTTCATTCAATCACTAACAATCGATGATGCCTTACTAAAACTACCGTGAAATTACTATGCATATTTTAATTTTAACTTGATTAAGCGGCATATTAACAAACAATATTAACATTTCAGCAAATCAAAATGTCACTTGTAATAAAACGTAATATAATAATATAACACATTTTGATCCTTGCGTTACTTATAACAATAAAAGTCAAATCTCTACATATAAACCTACCACACCTTTTGTTATTCTAGATGAACAGAATCGTACATTTCTATGAAAACAATCAAAACGGAAACGCTTAATACACCAGTTATTTCTAGCGTAAGACAGAAACAGCGACTATATTTCCGCTGGTAATCGTATTAACAAGATAACAAAAAGTTTTATCAAAAAATAATTTTAAATTACGAAAAAAAAAACATTTTGATGAATGAGGCACATTCAAATTGAAAATTGGTATAGGAAATATAAATGTCTTTTTGCCATCATAAAATATCATTATTTCGCTGTTATCCTGAGTACTATCCCCAGCTGAAAAATCCGCGGAATCTCATGATTAAGGACCACGAATTAGTTCGAAACATGTCCAGCAAAAATTCGAATTAAATACGTGAGTTATCCGTTATTTTAATTAAAACCGGTTTTAGAGCACAATATTATTGAGTTTCAATCATCGATTATATAACCAGAAATAAAGACGATATAAGGGCCATACATTCCTGATAACTCATCAGTAATACATTACTTATAATTCTCGTTTGCACTGAAATTACAAATTAGAAAGTTGGAATATACAGCGCCAACAACTGACCTGTGTGTATATTCCAAAAATATTCTGTATTTAATATAATAAAGATAATATCTCTAACTAAGGAGGGTTGTTCCTTTCGGGCCGTGGGAAAAACAGCAATACATCTAATTACAAAACAAACGGAATAATTAAACGGTAATTAAATATTAAATATGTAATTTTTCAATATTCGTCCATTATAGCAAAGTTCAAGTTAAACTGGTCAATTTGAAGTAAAGCAATTGACGACACTCGTCAATTGTTTCGAATGCGGACTGGCCAATCGGAGCGCAGTAATGATTTGGCGAATAGTTTTCAAACAAATAAAATGGCATTTCGTCTCTATTTCTAGTAATATATTCGATGATTTTAATAAATTAAAATACCTCACCGCACACGATAGTTACATATTATGCTATTTGTTATACAGAGGCATGTATTTCAAGATAGTATTTATACTTACAGTGTAACTCTTTCAGTTACTTTATGTGCGTGACGGAAGACGAATGATATTCGTGAAGAACCTGAATAAATAAATAATTACATTATATGATTCCAGGCGGTATCTTTAGACGACAGTAAAGTGCTAACGACCTGCGAACTTTACTCCGGTCCGTCACTACTTGTCTCTCAGCCAGAGTTAGAAGCACTAGAGCTGGAACAGGAGGAATTGCCGCCAGAACAACTGCAAATGGAAAGTGACGACCTCGAGTTGGCGGAACCGCTTGAACTCGGCCTTGATGAACATATTGCGGTGAGTCAAGTGTCGGAATGATAATATAGTAGTTTATGTGACTATTACATAATGAAACGCATTAAAATACGAGTGTGTTTATGTTTATATATATAAAAACATCACACGAGTGTTTTAACATGTTTACATGATAATGCAATTCCATCTTTAGGTTTATTGGTAAACAATTTTATATTTAATTTAGGCATTCTCAGTTCCTGAAAAGAAAATTATCCACTCGTTTCCGATTTTTTCCCACTGACAACTCTACTAAAAATTCTTATTTTATAAAGTCAGCAATACAAAGACCATGTTGGTCTAACGTTGCCGTGTGAAGGCCAACACCAACGTATAGACAGCCTATTTGCCTTGTCTTGCCATCGTTAGGTGTCACTCGCCTAGCTGACCGAGTGAAGGCGAGCGCCAACGTGTATGGAGCTCGTTTGACGTGGCTTGTCACAACTCGCAGTCGCTCGTGACTACTTGTCTTACTTCGGAGAAGTGTCGATTTTTCTGCACAAATCAAAGGCGCTTGGCCAATAGTAGTCAATTGACATTGTATAACATTTGCATGCTATTTAACATATGCGAAACACTGTCTCTTGTTACATCTCCTGTTATATGTACCATGTTTCAAACAAATAAACGTGTGATAATAATATTATTATTGATAATATAACTACTTTCATTTATTTCCAAAATTAAATGGAAGTATTAAGGATTCACTTAAATCAGTCACTGATATTAATTCTATACCAATGCATAAATGCAAAAAAGCTATACTACACTATTTGGAATCTGTTTAAAAATTTCTCTACGAAAATATAAATCTTGAGGTTGGAAATGTATAGGATTTGTATTTCAAAGTTTTCTCTTTTTTATATACTCTCAAATTACAAAATATTATTATTATATTTGTAAACGCAAAACAATAAATTCAAAATTTCATGTGACATTCCCGGATATTCCCATGTAACCTAAAATATTCCCAAATGGAATATTGATCTACTTTAATTAAATGTTTGCTTGTCGATAACGACTTCTCGAACGACACTAAAGAAATCCGCCATTTGTTCGTTCAATTTTTGTTTAGGTATGCACGTTCATTCCGTAGTCAGGGCAGCTCCTTTCTTTTATTTTTTTTTCCATCCTCTAAGGCCCCTAAAAAATATTTATATAAATAAATAATTTTTTTTTTTAATATTTTTTTTTGTTACAAGAAACGAAAGTAAACCTGCAATATGATCGCTTCTTTTTACGAGAACTAAGTAAACATCTCGAATTCGTCGTCGTTCAACTATTGACCTCTAGATAGCAGCACATTGATTGAAATTTCAATATAAAATCAAAACGTCCCGTAACTTGCAATAATAGGTATTTAACTTTCAACGATATGCCAACAGGGTAAAGTTTAAATTGTTTAACAGTCCAGAATTATCAAGATTTCATGGTGTTTAACATAGAGTTTTGGCGCCAGCGATTGTGTAGTAATCTAGGCTTAAGGCGCTTCCATTGTTTTTTCTTCCGTTAAGGCGGCTGTTTTCAACAGATTTAGGATGTGAGAAACCCTCTTCTTACTTGTAAATTTTTATACCCGGTATTGAATATTTCAGGTAACAGATGAGCAGGGCAACCCGCTGCACTTTACTATGCAAGATGGTACCCAGCTGGCGATCACCTCTTCAGATGGCAAATCTTTACAGGTATATTAATAATAAAATCGTTTACTCAACACAATAATAAATAAATATAAGGTATGTTACATAGTTTAGTTTTTTAGTATTATCAGACAATAATTAAAGTTGTCTCTATATGTATAGGTTGGCTCATTGTCACGCATCATTTGAAAGTTTTCATAATATCCGCTTAGTAATAAACAACAATCAGCTTTGAAGCTACGTCATACATCTCGATTTGAAGTCACAAAGTCAAAGATTATTTATTCCATAGATAAAATAAATTAACACTTGAAAACGTCACATTTAAGCTACTGCTCGTTCACTACGCTGACCTCCTGAGAAGAACGAGCAAGAAACTCTAGGGATTGCTCTTTTCAAATAAACTTAAATGCTATGGAATACACTTTGAATCAAATTTGTGTGGATTCTGGAGCCGTGTCGTCTTTCCATACATCTTTATCTAACACGTAGTCTTCAATTTTGTAATATGATTTTTCGATCAAAATATTTTTAATGTAGTTTTTAAACTTAGGAAATGATAAACTTAATATATGTTCCGGAATGTTATTGTAAAAACGTATACAGTTCCCCATAAAAGAGTTGTTTACCTTGGTTAAACGAAATCGTGGTACCATGAGTTTGGACTTAGCTCTAAGGTTAATATTATGGATATCTTCTTTCTTATTGAAATTAAAAAAAATGAAAGGCGTTTTAACCGACACGGAGAGTCGAATAACCTCAAATGGCTTTGGTTGATACCGCATAACAGTGAAAATGTTGAATCAATCACTCTGGAAAAATTATATAGTGAAATTGACGATATACGCTGATTAGTATACGATTTGAAAACACGATTCCTAAAAGTTATCACGACAGAAAAAAAACACAAAATTACCTCGAAATTTCAAAATTCAAAAGGTACTTTACATACTCGTATACCAATGTTTTTTTATCCAGTGTCCCTGAACCGACTCAGTAGGGGAAAATTTGAATTCGACCAGAGGTAGTATGGACTCTATTGGAAATGGGAATTCTAATGGAAATGCTATTACAATTTAAATGAATACTTTGATGACAAATAAAAATAATAATATTATAATAAATTTGAATAATAAATAAATGTTAATTATATACTATAAAGTTATGCTACTGTAATCTAATTAAATTCAAACTTTCAGTGACATAATTCTACTCATAATATGACGTATTTCTTTATTATTATATGACATTTTTTTTAAATATTATTATTTGATAAATAACAATTTTAATTAATAATTGAAACCTCGGCCTACCTCTGCTGTTATTGTTATCCCTAATAAAGGGCTCATATGTGTAGCATTATTTTAAATTTAAGACATGTATACCATATGAATGCAATAAATATATTGAGTATTGACTCAATATATTTATTGTAGTCGTAAAGATATCTAACTGGCTGACGAAATATCAGAGATTTCTCATAGATGGCGCTACGGCTAAAAAGTCGTTGAAAAACCAAATACAAAGATACGATGCAAGCACATAGAAAAATTCGTGAGGTCCGCTGGTTCGTTCCGTGGCTTAGTTGGTATAGCGTTGGCATGGTATGCTAGAAGACGTCGGTTCGAATCCGGCCGGATTTCTGAGTGTTCGATCCTTGTATCAATAATTATAACTAGTAAAGTAATTTTACGCATTCAATTTGACCCTACGTTATAATCATTGACTTACAAATAAATGGACGACGAGTCTAATACAAAAACCACGAAAAAAATGTCCCAAGTCAACCTATTTAAACGTAGTGACATGTCAAGGAATATGAAAAAGCTAAAACGTTGAATTTAAATAATAGTGGTAATGTCATCGCAGTACTGTCTAATTTTGCTTGCTTCGCTGTCAGTCGAACAAACGAAAACTAAAGCGTGAATGACGCTCTGTATACGATTGTAACGCCCTATAAGTTCGGACACTTTTTAGCGCGGACCCGACGTCCATATATTGTAAGTCAATGGTTATAATGAATTAATTGTTTTTCAGGTCATCACTCAAGATGGACAAACCATTCCAGTGGAAATCAACGGTTTCAACGGAGAAGAGGTAAATTTAGCATCCTCTAGTCACTGTTACCACAGACCAATAACGCAAGGGGATTGCTAATCTCCATACTACAGACCGTAACTCTGAAAAAGGTCAACATTTCCGTCTTATATCTAGATAGCGCTGATCAATAGCTTGGAAGTAGTTTATAGTATATAAACGGCCGTGGGTACCAATTAATTCCTATGAAATAGAAATCAGTTTTTTTCCTTGTAATATTATTCAAATATTGATCGTGTGCTAAAATTATTTTCTGAGCTTTAACATAATATAATATGCGTGTCAATAGATGGCATTGTCTGCCACAAACTAATTAAAAATTAACGCTTCCTAGTATTGGTAGATGGCGCTAATCCAAAACGAAAGAAATAAGCGCCATCTAGTTGATTTGTTTGTTATTACTTCAAATTAGAGCAGCTTTGATAAATTGCAGCTTGTGAATTTAAAACAAATTAGTTACAGTCTCATATTATATTAAATAATTATTTGCCAGTAGCTTTCACAAGGAGATCTACTATTAACTGTCTCCGTGGCCGAACGGTTACCATGCCGGATTGCCATGCAGAGGTCCCAGGTTCGATCCCGGGCCGGGAGAAATATTTGTATGGCCTACTACATTTATTTATCTCGTGAGTTTGGGTGTAATTTGTTGTTATCTATGTGTGTGTCCATGGCACCCGCGACACAGGGTTTCCCTAGTGCGGGGCTATGTTGAGTGTGTGCGTTATTATATTATATCTTTTGACAACTAGTCTTTCTTCATTTCATTATCGATATTGTACCTACTTGAAAATTAATGAAACTTTTTTCTCTTTTATTAGTTTTAAAATTATTTTTAATTTTTCCAACTCAGTTTAACACGCAATTAGACTAAGCTTTTGAAATGTATTAATATCTACATGAAATATTGTAGTAACTGTTGGTGTGCCCAATAAATAAATAAATAACATAAATGAAACTCTAAAGTCTTTAGTTTCAGGCTACTAAAAAACTCTTTGGAGTCTTCCATATAGGGAACAAACAAACAGTGCAACAGAACTACTGGGAATCGTAATTGTAAAAAGTACTAGTAGTCAACAGAACTATAGAGTGGGAATAGAGAACTATTTGGTACTTATCGCGACATCTGATGTACCAAAAGGTACTAAATACCCGACGATGTTATGTATCGCATTAAGCAGTCCCCTTGAATTATTGGTCCATGCTGTTTTACATACTTTTTAAATCTGTTTTAAATGCCTTTAGTAATAATTTTACGCCTTCTCGATGGCCCAAAGTAAACACTGTGATCACTGGATGAGGAGGTCTGAGCATATGTTTGAAGAGAGATTCCCTAGTTTGAGACAAAGTAATTTGTAGTATTATTATATACGTTTCTTTAATATGGGGCACCATAGTGAGGGTGCAGATTTTGTCTACTCTCCTTAATGGATTACTATAATTTGAAGTATGATAAATTATATTAGTCTGTCTTTTTAAAGATGGATTAATATATCATGCATAGGATTGTCAGATTTGATAAAATTTTAAATAGTCATGTAATTGTTGTCGACAGTTTTATCGATAGATTATGTAAGAAGGTAAAACTTTGCCAAAAAGTCTGAATTGTGAATGTTACCATGTTCTAATGATGACTAATTGCGTTATTGCCTTCTTTATTCTTATTTTGACAGTTGGCCAACTTACAAAAATTTACAATTCAAATGAACCTGTACTGTTGGTCGACGATATTGCTGATTCAAAAGAAACAGATTCGGCTATTTAATGCATAAGCGTGACGAATATTCAGTCGATAGTCGATAGAATATTCATCGACTGCAATCACTTGCTGCTGACAAGCGGACAACACTTGCGCAATAAACTGTATTTAATAAACTGTACTTATTATTTCAAGACGATTTTGCTGATGTTGTGTATTACTGTGTATTTGCAGGAAGTGGAAGAAGAGACGGAAACGATCACCCAGATAAACCTCTCAAATAGTGTCGTCGATGATAACATGTCTTCGCCGGTTACACACTACTTTACCATTGTTTGAATAATAATGGAAATGCATGTAAACAAGGTGCACCCTGTTGTTTGCGAGTGTACTGTGGAATTCCCAAACTCTAACGGGAGCGTGGTGTCATGAGGATTTTTCTGCAATGTTTGCGATTGTCGTGATTTATAAAATGATTTAGTCAATCACAAATTAATTTGAAACTGCCCAACGCTCTGTCTATTTCTTTCGCATCGCGATTGACGTCGCGTTTGACAGAGACAGAGAAAGTGCAGAGTTCCTTCTAGAAATAGTGACTTCACAATTTTCTAAACGGGTTCATAATAAATAATACAATACTGTACTCACAACCGTAGTACTTGACTGATGAATGAATATGATTGACATTGTTGTAGATGTAAGAACTATGTACACCTAAACTGGTTGGTGCAAATATATTTTTTTTGATCTCTTATATAATATTATCCCTTATCGTATATAGAGATCGGAATAGGCAGACTATTATTTCCTTAAACTTCAAATAATAAACAAAATTAATCTCCATCTTAAATACCGCGATGATTAAAAATTAAAGATAGTAAAAATTAATCATTTTTTTACTTAAATTACAAAACTTTTCAAAACTTACAATACTAAATATTAGTTACAAATAAAAAATTTAGAACATAATTCAGGGCAAATTTTATCCATTCTGTGTATTGGCGTGTTTACACAGCTCGCTGTTTACACCTAGTCGACTGCCGCCATTTCGGCAAGCGAAGGCGGCGCAGTTAACGCGATGTTTACACCACTTGCCGCCTTCGCCGAAATCACCAAGTTGAAATCGCGTCATCATAAATACAAGTTTACGCACAGAGACAACAAATCATTCGAAATTTTCAACAAACTGTTCGGGTAGGTAGGTCTTCGTCGGTGCCCCAGCAAGGTGGACCGCAGCCGTCGACATGTTGAAACGTATTAGATTGACAGTCGTTTGCCGAAACAATGATTACACCTAGTCGACTTCATTATCTTTGATAGCGAATTACAGTCATCAAACGACTCGTTCGAAGTGTTTACAATGGGAAGATTGCTGTCTTCGGCCATTATTACGAGGAATAAAAATAAACTTTCTGCTCTAGACAGTCGTCATTTAAAGGGCAATGTATAATACGCTTCTATAATAACATTCCGGTTGATTCACGAGGTTTAAAACTATAGTGAAACAACTCACCAAAGATTCTGCGTACTTGGATGACAAAAATCCGTGGTAGTAACCCTGGTAATATCGATCTATGATATTCCAACAAATATTGTAAATGATGTTTAGAAATGTAAATACAAAGAGCGACTCTAGATTTTCTTGCTCATTCTTCTCAAGCGAATCTCAGGCATTACGAATGAGCCGTGGAGTTTAATCAATATGACGATTCCAAGTGTAATTTGCTTACATGTGAAACAAAGATTTTTTTACTTTGAAAACGAAGGCGACCTGCCTAGTGTGAATGCACGCGATTATCTCCTTGAAGTTAGGATAAATTTACTCTGCCTATGCTGATATCTGCTTGTAGCACTAATGGACGTAACTTGTGGACGAACTAGAATTATTTACAAGACAACGTAGAACATGAAGTCTTAGCCCAGCTAAAAGTTTTACGACCATCAATCGCACAGGTTTGATTCGTATTTCCAGTACTTTCTAATTATACTGGATTTAGGTTTTTTTAAATAGGGAAATTTGATTTAAGCAATATTTTCATTACGAGGTAATAATGAACATTAATATCGCACAGTAAACCAAATAATGGCGTAATTCAAAATTATGGAATAGAGATGACACGATTTTATAAATAATAAAAAAACAGAATGAAACCAATATATAAATGGGTAATTAAGTACTAAGAAGAACAAGGCAAGTGTTAACGAAGCTTTAAATAAATTGTCAAAATGTAAGTCATGCTACATTCGAAAAGAAATATTTACAATGCCTTTTTATATCTTAAAAAAAATTATATAAACACATATAAAGTTTCAACCATTCGCGACCCAAAAATTTGCGAGGTCAAAATGGGCATCGTTCTTCGAGTCTTATATAAATAATTTTTTTTCGCCAGTTACGTCCATCCTGAGTAAAGGGAAAATGATGATTATAATAATGAAGATTTAATTTTTAAACTGTTCTAACAATGAACATTAATTTTAATTAAACAATTTTTAATTCGAGTATTTGTTTTAATTATTTTTTACTCTGATAAGTATTGTTATTCGAATGTGATAGTTCTGAAACATTTTTTTACTAAAGTTAAGTCACAAAAGCCACTGTTTTAGCCAGTATTACTGTAATTATTATTATTGTATTACTGTCATAATTACTGGAAAATAAAAAGTTATTTGTACTTTCAAGCGTTTTTCTTTGGAACAGCCCTGTATTTTTTTCTTTGGAACAGCCCTGTAGCGCAATACCAATAGGCAAGGTTTTACTTTTTGGTTTTACCTTTGACAATTAGCGCGATACCAAATGTGCGTAACGTGTCACACGTCTCAACGTTTCCTTTTTGTTTGGCTTTGGTTTTTGTTTTGACAGTTAGCGCGATATGAAATGTACGCAACGTGTCACATTGGCGAGGTTTAAGGTTTTGGTTTTACCGTTGACAATTAGCGCGATTGGCCCCCTGGTGATAGTGGAATAATAAAACAACCCAGTTAATATGAAATTCAATATTATTTCGTTATGCTTTTTAATAATACAATATATTTGCATACCATATACTATCGGTAGTATATTATTGATGACCAATCATTAAACAATGAAAAAATGATATTCATCAATTTTCGCTTAACATTCTTTTAATAAATAGCTGTATACAAAACAATTATTTACACGATAAGGCAGTACAATTACCACGTAAAGTGCGCCTTCACTTACTTTAGCTATACAAGCGGTAAAAAAATGAAAATTGAAATAACATTAACCGAGGGTCAATTAAACAAATACGTACTCATCTTAATTTTACTCCAGTCAAATTGAAATAATTACTAACAAGTTAATATTACAACAAATAAGCAATAATTAGTTTGTGAATTTGTTATTTAATTATTTATGTGATACGGGGAGAGTTCACTTAAAAACAATGTTTCTACAATACGAGCATACATCCGACAGTTTGGCTGCTTCATTTATAATTTGAGACAATTTCTTCAATTTGGAACGTATCGACCATCTCACTAATACATATGGCAAACATCGCGTTTATACACAGAGCAACATTTCGCGTACACAGCGACGACCTGACACAGGCCGGCCTGCGCGGTGCTCTCCATCCGTACTGTCTTTCAAGGGTCGGTCATCACAGCTCGCAGCCGCCACAGGCCGGCGCTAAGCTCCGCACGCCAAATAATAACACGAATTCAACATGATAAACTTTCACAAATGAAACCCATCGAAGCACATGTATAAAAAATCCTACACTTGATTCGAGCTTACAAACTCCTTAATAACCTCTCCAACTGTACAATATGACACAGGCACCGATCGCGGACGCGATCGCTCAATCGCACCACGCGCAATGGATTAGTGATACTTATGACATTATTTTACTTATGATATTAGGATTAGTTACAAAACCGATCGTCCCCTTCTAAACGCTTATCGGTCGACGTTACACTTGCGTAAACGAAACAGACCGTCCAGGGAAATGCACTAACCGATACTTTTAAAATACAAATGGACACTGGCACTATTGCCCTACAGTAGCGTTTAACTGAAGGTTACAGGCTTGACTCGACTGCCGCCGGCGACTAGATATCGTAATGAGTTTGGAGCGACTCGGCTGGCGCTTATATCACCAGAGCCATGTCCTTCTTGCTGGGCAGCTGCGTCTTCTTGCCCTGCCACAGCGAGTTGTGTATCGTAAACGCGTCGATTGTCACCGTCAAGTGCTTCGTGTGCACTTGCGAGAAGCATTTGCTACCAGAATTATACCTGTGAACGAACATTTTAATTGTAGAAAAATAGCGAGCGTGCGTTTAGTGGCATAACGGTTGCTTCTCAATTAAGAAATCGACCCCTCCGACGTAAAGTATCGTATGTCGAAATTGCCAAGTTTACAGAGGAGCCTTTTAAATATTCTGAATTCACTGAAATAAGCACAACACGTGACTTTAGCATTTCTCAGTTTTATTCGACAAAGCTACTCACATAGAGCATTATAAAATCCTACATATCGGTTAGAGGATGTATTAGATGATCACTCTATTTGAGTAACGAGCTTTGCCGAATAAAACGGAGAACTTTAAAACGCTTCCCTGTAAACTTGGCAATTTTGACATACGATACTTTACGTAGGAGGGGTCGTTAATGATTGGCATGTAACTAAACTTCAAATTCCAAGTTACGTAGTTTCGTGAATGTTTAGTAACGTGTAACGATTCATCTGTAATGAAACCTGCATAATAAAGAAGGTTCACAACACGCAAAACACACGGAGACCCGTGTCCAATAGTGGGACGTACCATGACTCAATGCTGAGAAAACTCAGGGTTAAAAATGCAAGCAAAAAGCGGAAGATCTAAAACCTCTAATAGCTGGTTTAACTGTCTACACATCTGCCATCCGCTAACTAAAATGTGACTAAGTGACAAAATAATGTTTTGAGATATCATAAAAAAACCATAACCCAGTTTTAGAATATTGGAATTGTTTAATAATATTTCAGCTATAGCTATATATATATATAGCAGCTAAGTTCCGGTAAGTCGAATACGTTAACTAATTTTAACTGTTTTTAAAACATAATTTTGTGGTATATTGTTTGGCACTTAACCGCGATTTAGTTTAAATGCGCACCTATATTTTATAATAAAAAAAAAGTTAGTGGACGGCAGATATCTTTACATTGCTTATTTCTTTTTTATTGGTGTTACCATGGACCAATAACTCAAGAGGACTGCTAATCTCCATATTAAAAATCGTAGCTCTGAAAAAGGTCAAAATGCCGTCTTATTCCTAGATGGCGCTGATCGATAGCCTGGAATTAGTTTATATTTACGTAAATGGCCGTGGATATCGATTAACTCCTCTTTTATAGGAAATATAGTAGATATTCTATTTTTCTTGTAATGTTTTTCAAATATTTAGTAATAAACTAAAATTATTCTCTGAACTTCGATATTTATGCGTATCAATAGATGGCATTGTTCGTTGTTAACTAATTAATAACGTAACGCTTGCGAATATCGTTAGATGGCGCTAATCCTAAACAAAATAAAAGAATACTTGGAAGTATCTATAAAAATCTGAGCAATATAGTATAACCTAAAGGAAGTCTAAATTGTCATCCGTTTGCGGTGGCGCACAGTGGGCCCAAATTGATAATTCTTGGACATAGGAATAACTTGTGGAGTATCGAGCTAATTTTTTTATGTGATAGACAATAACACTCCTAACAACTTTTATTCTTGTATGATTTCTTGAAAAGTTGATAGTTTCAGAGAAAAAAATTATTATTTTTTTTTGTGGAGAAATATACATTTTGTTCTTTATCTCAAAATATATGAAAATGTAGTGTGCGTGGGTTACTTACAGTATAGTTCCAATCATTTTCTATGTAGAAAAAAATAATCCGTCTGCATGTACTTGCGGCTTTGTAAGTAGAGGTGCGGCAAAATTGCTAACTCTTTTATGTACTTTTTTAACAAAATACATGAGCTTCGACTAAAGAAAATTTAATTTTAGTGCTAAATTACACAGAGCGTTATAACAATAACACGAAAGTTAAGTAGAAACTAGTATATTGTGTTTTATTTTTTAATAAATAACAAATCTAACATTTTGACATCTTTTTACTCGTAAAGCCGCAAGTACCTGCTGATGGATTGTTTTTTTCTTGATAGAGAATGATTTTTTTTATTTTTTTATAACGCACACACTCAACATAGCCCCGCACTAGGGAAACCCTGTGTCGCGGGTGCCATGGACACACATAGACAACCACAAATTACACCCAAACTCACGAGAGAAATAAATGTAGGCCATACAAATATTTCTCCCGGCCCGGGAATCGAACCTGGGACCTCTGCGTGGCAGTCCGGCATGGTAACCGTTCGGCCACAGAGGCAGTTAAATAAAAAAAAATAAAAAAGTTAAGTTAAATTGTACTTATACTGTAAATAAACCACACATTACATTTTACATACAGGCTATGGGTGACCGCCTGCGTTCTGGCACCAATTTGTCCCTCGTCCTTCCACAACACAGTTCCTAAAAATATTCGAACTCGTTCACAGTAAATGCTGCCCGAATGTAGAACCTTCTCCCGGTCGAGGTCAGACAGTCGCCTTCGGTTCGGGTTTTCAAGGGTGCTCTTTTGAAGTTTTGGGATTGTTCAGACTTCACATGTTAGAGCTTTTGAAATATTTATTTACATTTGATATATTTATTTATAGTTTTATTTTGTACATTCAATTTATTATAGACTTTGTATGTATTAATGTATCAACATTACTTAATATATATATATTCGTATGTACACTTGATTTATTAAATTTATCTGTGTATTTATTGAGTATAGTATATTTCATTTCTTTACTTATCTATTTTTAGTGCCACCCCAAAAACCAACTTTCCTCTCAGATTTTCAAAGGTTAGTTAGAAGAAATCTCTTTATGGGATAAGCTCGCCTTTGTACACAAATATTTAAATTGTTTCTGAAAATTTGTAAGTTACAATAAAGTGGCTTGTGGTACAATAAAGTGTTTAAATAAATAAATAAATAAATAAATACATTTTTCTACAATTCGAGATAAAAAATAAAATGTTTATTTCTCCAAACAAAAAAAAAACTAAAATTTTTTTTCTGAAACAATCAGCTTTCCAAGAAATTACATAACAATAAAAGTTATCAGGAATGTTATTATGTATCATGTGAAAAAAATCAGCTCTGTATTCCTAAAATTGTATCATGATTAAATAATTATTTAGCCTAAAATTTATACTTTTTATTTCCGTTATTTTTAATTACCTTCAGATTAATTTATACTGGGTTGTTGGACTTTATGCACTGTTTGTAATGGATGACATATTACACACAGATTACACGAAGCTTATGTATTTTGTTAAAAAAGTACATAAAAGAGTTTTTATGTACAATTTTGCCGCACCTTTATTTACAAAGCCGCAAGTACATGCAGACGGATTATTTTTTTCTACATAGAAAATGATGGGAACTGTACTGTAAGTAACCCACGCACATTAGATTTTCGTATATTTTGAGATAAAAAATAAAATGTATATTTGTCTTAAACTTTGTTTGTTAAAAAAGTACATAAAAGAGTTAGCAATTTTGCCGCACCTTTATTTACAAAGCCGCAAGTACATGCAGACGGATTATTTTTTTCTACATAGAAAATGATGGGAACTATACTGTAAGTAACCCACGCACATTAGATTTTCGTATATTTTGAGATAAAAAATAAAATGTATATTTGTCCATACAAAAATTTTTTTTTCTCTGAATCTATCAACTTTTCAAGAAATCATACAAGAATAAAAGTTGTTAGGAATGTTATTATATATCACATAAAAAAAAATTTCTCGATACTCCACAAGTTATTCCTATGTCCAAGAATTATCAATTTGGGCCCACTGTGTGGCGTTCCGATATGACCCTTTGGGACCAATAATGCAATACCTGCGATATTTAATGCGATATCATACTTCTTGGAATTACAAATAAAATTAAAAAATATTATTTCGCACGTTCGGTGCTCTCAGCCTAAAATCACCGTAGCCATTGTTTTTTCTCGCTTCTTACACCCAGTAACATTGAAATATGAATAATTTTAAGCTAAACTATCAATATGTCTAAATGGCATTAGAACAGACAAAGTAGTGTTCTAGTTATTATTTAGAGGATGGAAACGTTGCGAGTTGCGATTGTTTTTTTTTTTACAATGTATTTGTATACGACTCCAGGTGCATATCCATTTTGAGGTAAAATATAGCGCCATCTAGTTGACGTGTTTGTTATCACTAGAAGCAGATTTGATAAAATTCAATGTGTCAATGTAAAATAACGTTACAAAATAGCTATTTGGTAATCGTCGCGACATCTAGTGTACCAATAGGTACTAAATACCCGGCTACGCTATCTTGTATGACGATTAGCAGTCCTCTTGAGTTATTGGTCCATGGTGTTACCAATTCTTACCTTTTTGTATGTTTTCTAATATTTGCACTTATTTAATGGAACAGTCTGGTCTGTTAGCAATTTAAAGTACTTTTTATAATACTGCATGTTTTCCTAAATAAATAATAATAAAGTTTCATAAAAGAAAACTCACTTGAAAAATTTGTCGAACATCCTATCGTTGACGTGCTTGGGGCCAGTCCCGTACAGTTTGGTGACCTGTTCGGAGTCGGGGCAGTACGAGTAGAGTGCACGGAACTGGCAGCCCGCGTCGCGGAACAGCACGAGGAAGTGTTTGGCTTCGGACCGCGCGATCTCCTCCAAGACCCGCCGCTTCGCTTCCGCGTTGACGGCGCCGGGGAACACGCAGTACTCTACGGCGTTTAGCATTATACCGCGATTCGATTTTGTCGTCGGCTGCTTGTAGAGTCTCGGGCCTGCAATATTTTTGGTGGTTATTCTTAAAAAGTGTCCTTGAATAACTCGAAAGTGCGTTACAAGAACTTGAAGACATTCAACAAGAATGTCCTAAAGCGTCTAAGAAGTGCACAGAATTGTTTGATGATTAGAAAATTTTTTTTCAACATTTCTTACGTGTCTTGTATTGCGCCTTCAATCGTACAACGTTTTGTTTGTGCCATTTTATGTACAGTATTCACTGATTCGAAAGTTAATTATAGTTATATATATTTAGTTCAATACGTATGCATGTTTTTAATGAAGCCAGATGCACAGTGAGCATGAGTACGCAGTGTCGTGCATCTGTGTGTTAATATGTATCGTGAGAAGCGATGTCAAAGCGAACGCACTCATTGTTAGAATAAAATGCTCTCAAATCGAACACCATGCCTTAAAAAGTATGTTACATCTATTCGTTTACATTTGTATAGTTTCTAGTATTTGTTGGCATGACATCGGTACATCTAGTTTACTAACGGTGCTCTGGTGTCGAAATGCCTACAGAACTACAAGTAAATCGGTTAAGACAAACGAACGACCTTTTCTTTGACTCTCACTGGACGCTAGGGGGAGAAATAGTTGAATGAGTCGACAGAGCATGAAGTTATCGGACAGGAAGTGCACCAAGAATGCGACTCACCCGAGTAGTCCATGATGGAGGAGTGTGTGGACGAGACGTCGGAGTGGTCGTCCTGCGGCACGTGGCGGCGCTTGCCGATGGCGCCGGGCAGCGAGCCGGGCCCCGACCCGGCGGGCGAGCCCAGCGCGCGCAGCCCCGGCGACGCGGCGCGCCGCGGCGGAGTCGCGCGGCCCAGCCCCGAGTCTGTACACGCATATCGCCTTAGCAACCTACCTTTGCTACGCGTCGTCATCGCCTACGCCCCAACGTTACACCGCTGAACGCCGTATCCGACCGACAAAATTATTTTCATCACACTTGCTCGTAAATAGTATGATAGCGTGGTGGCTAACTGGACTAAAGTGCCCCAAATAAAACCCTAGGGCATTTTTCTTTCCATTACAGCCATAGATGGTAAGGATTATTTTTTTATTTGTAGCACGACATACTTCCTTGCGTAGGTCTGGTTCAAGTTCAAGCAAGAACGGTACTTAAGTTCAAAATTGAAACATTCGCTTAAAATGTTATCTATCATAAATTTAATTGCAATTCAGCCACATACAATTCTCATTAAAAATTTCTTATAATTTATTTTAATTATTTTCTGTATAAATATTTTGCAATTTTTTTTTCAATCCATCATCAAGGCTATATGTATGCTTTTTACAACATTTTAGTTCGAGTTGTATTATTTATGGAAGGATAGCTAGCTGGCCATCTGTTGATAAGAAAAAACCCGCCATTTACAAGAACAAAATTGTTGCGTTGTGAACCATTTATCATACAAAAAATAAACATTGTATTTATTTCCACGCAAATGTGGTGAAAAACATTGTATGTATCACAGACGGTGAAAATACAAACACTCGTTGGTAATTTCTTTTTTTTTTTTTTTCTTTTTTTTTTATACTTGACAGGCAAATGACTCCACTCCACCTGATGTTAAGTGGAAAGTGGTATCCAAACGCGAAGGAACCTAGTGCAGCGATGAAACCCTCACTGCACTAGCCACCTCCACCCTGCCTGCCTACAATATGCCTCTTCACGCCTCGTTTGAAGGACCCCATATCATAAGAGGGAGGGAAGACATGTGCCGGAAGGGAGTTCCTATGTACCGTCCTGTACACAATGTACTATTAGGACAATATTTTTATCGTGTTCAAATCTACTATTACAAAAAAATATGCTAGGTAGAATTTTTACGTGTTTGGATAGTGTCTGTTTTGAAGATGGAGTAAAATGACAGTACATTGTGCAAAAGTGTTGCCCGCTTGCATCGAGTATATAACCGGAAATGGAGACGAAATAAGGGCCATACATTCCTGGTAACTTCTCAGTGATACATCACTTGTAAACATCAACTCTTGTTTGCATTGAAATATAGAAACGCCAACAACTGACCTGTATGTACGTCTCCATATAATCCAAAAATATTCTGTAGTTATTATAATAAAGATAAATATCTGTAACAATGGCGCGCTGTTTCATTTGATGGTGTGGGGAAAAACAACAAAACATCTAATTACAAAACAAACGGAATCAAATTTCATCGGTAATTAAATACTAAATATGTAATTTAGCAATTTTCTTCCATTATAGCAAAGCTCAAGTTAAGTTAGAAACAATACGACACCCATTGACGATACCCGTCAATTGTTTCGAATTCGGACTGGCCAATCGGAGCGCAGTTGTCACAGTCATATGTCATATATGGCAGAATAGTTTTCAAACAAAATAAATGACATTTCGTCTCTATTTCTGATTATATACTCGATGCCCGCTAGTAAACAGCTAGTGGTTGCAGTCGATAAATATTCTATCGACTATCAACTGAATAATTGATTACGCTCACAAAACCGAGTTTATTTCATTTCTATCATTATTGACCATATATATAAGTAAATGCATATCGTCGTCTAAGGATCGTATTCCAGAACTCTACTTAATGCTCAAGTCAGGACTTGAGTATTACAGTGAGCACTGAAAATCACACTCAAGTCCTTGCCATTAGGGTCGTATTTCTAGTGCTTTTAATCATACTCAAGTCTGCTCAAATCCTGACTTGAGCATTGAATAGAGTTCGGGAATACGACCCTAAGAGTGAATACCTCGTATGTGATTTCTATGTAATTTTCAGGACGATGATCAAAATATGGTGTAAAATCTTCATTTAGTAAAACGCAATAATGTTTATAATTAGCATTTTATTTAGTTAAATCAGTAAAAACGAACTATGTGAAAACGCGTATACGGTTTTCACTCTAAGACGACGATATGAGGATTGAAGATCTTTCCATTGCTATTTGCGCCTAATGTCGTTTTACGCCGATGTTTTATCCGTAATCGTATAGTTTACATAGGCAATAATTTACATTAGAGTAAGAACTTGCCTGTACTTCACGAATTGATTTCGATATCAGTGGGCCAACATTTCATTCATAAGAACGTCACAAAATCGGACATTTTATGACAAATTTTATTTTCATCTATCGATAAAACTGTCGACAACAACTACAAGTAATAATAATAATAATAAGTAATAATAAGTTTATTTTCTCAAGTCTATTTAAGATTTTACGAAATGCAGTCATTTTATTCCGTCTTCAAAAAACAGACTATAATAAATTGAATGTTTAAAACAACAGTAATATATAACTGCATTCAGGTACTACAGATTAAAACTACGTATACTAAGTGTTTATTTTGAAATAACTGATAAAAAAAAAAACCGAAAACTATTGCAAAAAAGTCAGCACCCTGTTAGTTGAGTAGTAAGTTATCATTAAATTTATTGACTAGCATAACAATAAAATTAGTAAAGAAATAGGAATTTATCACTTTCACGTTTGTGTTATATTTTAATTTAGTTTGTTTTCTTTTCCGCTACCAATTATAATAAATAGTAATACACCTATAAAATTATCGTTCGAAGCGTAAAATACTAAATGCTACATAAAAATAATCTACTGCAAAGCGAAATTAAAACTACAACATAATAAAACCAGGCGTTTAACGTACATTTCGTATTTTACGCAAAGATACTTAAAAATATTAAACAATATTTATAAAAAAAAGGAACTTAGTTAATGCGTAGGAAAATGCTAGTTGATCATAATTGCCCATTGCACACATAACATGCATATGTGCAATAGTATGAGATGATATTATCATCTGAAACTTTTTTCAACTCAACGTGTACAAACTACTGTTTGGAAGGGCCCAGGTATCAGTGGTTATTTTCCAACTTTTATCCCAATTCACATATTCACCTTTATATGTAAATTAAATATAGGGAATAATATAAATTAAGCAACAATGGTTTAAGAATTTAAAATTAGCTGGGAAAGATGTTTTCCTATAAATAAGGAGTACTAAGACGATGTCACACCAACACCATAATATTTATTAGAACATGCAACAATTAAACCAAAATCCGAACAAAAAATCCATCACCAAAATACGTGACAAAATACATAAATAATACAGAAGACCTAATAAACAAAAGAAAATGTGCACAAGACGAGAGATTTTGTACAGTGGGAGTTGTTGTGAAGACTTGAATTTCTTATCGGAGTTGTTAAACAATTTGGTAGCAATATTATTTATTTACATGTTAAAAAAGGACACCTTTTGCTACTTTTTTGTCCAAATAAAAATATAACCGAAAGCCTTGTTTTTTTTTCTGCGTGGTATGGGTTATACATGCAAGCGTCCTTGACTGTCCCCACAATTCTGTGTCTGTAAGTGTAAATACATTGCACGTTTGACATAGGCAATAGACAAATACACACCGTCTTCACAGACCATCTCCCACCAGGTACAGCAACGTAAAGGTAACCCAACGAACCAAAAGCGAACCTTGCACCAATGTGAGAAAGCCTTTACATCTGGTGAGAACCAGTTGGTCTTACCGCACAAGTTCATTAGAGAGCTAGACTTCCGGCCCGCCTTAAAGTTACTCTGGTAAGTGGAATATTTAGACCTTCCACGTGTCGTCTGTGGTTCCTCACTCACACGCTCTGAAAATGTTTCCATCAAATCACGCAAACGCATGCATTTCACTCCACTCGGGTGTTAGCAGTCAATGTAATTGAAATACGACGATTGCGACGTCGAAAGCATGCATCGTCACACAAGCAGGCTCGGTTGTTTACGTAGGTCATTTTATTTATCAAATAATATTGGAATCTTATATGCAAACAAAATTGAAGACTATTTCCGCGACAAGAAAAAACGTTTATCTTACATGATTTTTAAAATCCGTTATACGTGTAAACAGGATTGGAACCAATTGTAATAAAATGCGCGGAAGGTCTATAGGGCGCTCCGAAATTTGGAAAAGTAAGCTTTGAATCTCACTCTTTAACTCAGCTGGCAACTACAGTAAAAGGCCAAATAGCAAGCATGATTTTGGAGTGTACTTTACTCTATGCGTTGTTGAAATCATATGCATATAAAATATAATCAAATCGAAAAATAAATATGATAAAGCATTCTACGAAACAAAATTTTAAAAAGCTCTACTAAAACTGAGCCACGTAATTTTGCTGGAATTTCGATTAAAAATACATCGAGATTTAAATGAAGTTGCAGATTTCTTAAAATATATATAGAGGATATCTTCATAGGGTCGTATCTTCGGATAACACAATGTAGGTTATTTAATAACGCACAAAGATACAGTGAAATCCTCGATATGGCATCAATATTTAATTTGAATAATAATAATAACATTGCCACCGCGTACGATTTTGCTAGTTCATCATTATAACGATAACAAAACAAAATTTGAGACGCATGTGTGTTTGTACCATACGGGCATGTCAGTGTGTGACAATTTCAAACTTAAATTTGGAAGTTTGCGTTTACGAACAAATTGTTCATCGTTTACAAGCAAAATCGTATCAAAACACGAGCAAAGCCTGCGTCTGTTAGTAAAGGGCGAAATCGTTTGCTAGGCTGAACGAGTGCGACTCACCTCGGGAAGTCTTGCAGGAGCCGCGGCGGCCGAGAGGGCCGCTTGAGGCGCTGCCCGGGGACATGCCACCGCGCTCTTCTACTGGCGATTCTGTTGGATACGGATTTCATTTTGACATTATCTATCCAATCAGTACGGTTACGCAATGGGTCGTCGCACTACAACACAGTCAATCGACAATCTCTGCCGTAACCCAGGAGACAGGCAGCAATAGAGTATGTCTCTAGTTTGAGTTTGTAAAGGGTTTTCCATCAAGGGCGGGTAGGTTATGACAATTCATAGCGGCCATGTTGTTGAGGCAGCTTTTTTTGACAAATCTGTTGTTTATTTTTCACTCATTAAAGACAAATCATCATGGCAAGTCCCAGCGTCAAGCAACACGTGCTAATCATAAAAATTTATTATAAAATGTTTACGTGTCGTCCTTCCCAGTCGGCTATTCAACGTTTGTTGGCCAAATTCGAGTTGACCGGGACGAAACTCAATATCTGCCGAACACATCGCCGCTTTTCGTGAGTGTTCAGGAGAACAGGCAGTCTATTACGCGCGCAGCGTTGCCACAATAGAACACCCATTTTGATAATTATTTTTTTTCACTTTCACGTTTTGCTCGACGCCATGATAATTTGTTTTTAGTGACTGAAAAATAAACAACGGGTTTGTCAAAAGCAGCCTCAACAACATGGCCGCTATGAACTGTCCAAATCTACTCGCCCTTGATGGAAAACCCCTTACTATGATCAAACTCATCTGCAAAATTCTGATGACGTAGAACACTCATGGATAGCTAGTACCTAGCAGGAGGCTTAACCGGAGGATCAATAAACAAAACCTCGGTTTTTTAACTCAATTAAAATTTAACGTCAACATCAATTGTTTTAAAATTGTCTAAATTATAATTGCAAACATATTTCTATTTACACCTTTGGATTCCCATTGGGGTAGGCAGAGACTATCGATCGCCACTTTGCACGATTAATTAAAAAATAAACCATAATTACCGTTCAATAATAATTACCAACACAAATAACGTTATAAATAAGTGCACTATAATAACCTAGTAACAAAAACGACATTTTATTCGATAACGTTGTATGAAAAAGAAAGAAAGACATGCATAGCACTGACCTCTATATAGACCCGCGCGCTCGGCGAGGCTGTCCTGCGAGCCGCGATAGTAGTCCCGCCGCATGGAGCCCGCTACAAGACACACACACACGTCAGGGAGGGAAGCGGGGAACGGTGCCGCCTTAGCTTTACATGTGTTTAGCTCAACTACTGACTCACCCTCTCACTTTTAATTACACCATTCCTGTTCCATATTGCCACAATTCGCAACCTCAATAATAAAGAGAAGTAATTTGAAAAGTCACATTTTCGGGAACACAAAAATTTACAAATTTTTCCGGATTTTAATCGCGAATATTTGTTTTTTCAAACAAACCAATGTTTCGGCCCCTTTACAGGTCTTTTTAATATTAGAGATAACTTGTTGATGACTGTACCACCTCATTCAATCGTGACCATGGGACCTGTTTCATTTCCTAATATATCATTTTTTGAATCAAACTCAATTTGGTATACAAGCTTATTATGACTTTTTAGTCACAATCTAAATTTTTTCCAGGCTTTTGTATTTTATTTTACTATCATATTAGGGGAGCTTACAGCTACTTTTATAACATGGATTTAAGTATAAATAATCAGATGCCAATTAAAAGCTTACACATATGAAAAGAATTCATTCTTGTAAAAAAAAGTGGTAAGTCAAAAGAGGTGTTCCATTAGTAGTACTAAAATAAATGGAAAATTTAACCAGTTGGTTTTTCGTGAAGAGGTATCAAAACCTAGAAATTCCGAATTGAAAACAATTCCTTTTTGACCTGCAAATTCCAGAAAATCATTAGGGATTTTCAATGCTATATAACGGAAAACGGAACGGAACGGATTTTTATATAATTTTTTGGCTACTGGGCTAGTGGCCAATGCCGTACAAATTATCTGTCAACATCAGATGTCAATGTCATTAATATTTTAATCATAAAATTAGTTATTAGTTATTATTATTAATTATTATTATTATTATTAGTTGATTATATTTTAGCGTTTTGACCCCTCCTACGTAAAGTATTGCATGTCGAAATTGCCAAGTTTAAAACGCTCCCCTGTAAACTTGGCAATTTCGATATATATACTGTACGTAGGAGGGGTCGGTATGTCGGTTGCTGCTTTTTGGACTTATTTTAGAATGTCTACCACACATTTGTTTTAAATCAATTTTTAAAAAAGCAGACCACATAACTTTTTTTTTGTTATTGCTAAGCTCTATATTTCAAGCTTATATCTAGCAAAAGAGTTAAGCCTGGTTAAATTTTTCTGGGAATGAAGTAAAGCTCCATACTAATTCCGTACAAGTCTTTTCGTTGGTAATTAAAAAGTCACATGTATTTGCCAGTACATTACTTTTTAACTTCTATTTTGTCAGTTCTCCAAAAATGTTCATTTTTAGGATTACGTCACTTTATTATTGAGGAGGCGATGTGTTACCAATATGTACTATACTAATACTATTACCAATACAAGTAACGACACATTACATTGAACAATGAAATATCTAGGGTTCAAATCTAAACTTTTCAACCTTTACGTGGTGCTTATTAACCAGACAAACGTAGTGAAGATAATGTAGTAACACTGTGATGGTGTTGCATCGAATTATATAGAATAGTTCAGCTAAACATTTAAACAAAAATTGCGGCCATGCCATAATAGAAAAAAAAAGATTTGTATCTAATGTCGACCACATTTCGTAAATTCACTATCGATGTTAGACACAAAATTAAATGAAAAGGCTAAAGGGGCTAAGCTTAGAAACATTGAGTGCTGCTCAAAGGGAATAGCAATCAGTGGGACAAAATAATACATTTGCGTCCGTATCAATAAACTTCTCTATAAAATATCCAAGAAACGTATAATGTAATAAAATTCGAGTACTCGCCGAGATGTCACGCGGATCTCAAGTTGCATTTGAAGCACTTCATTATTATTAAGATTATACGACATATCGGATGATACCATCTTAAGTAAACAGAACTTGATTGATTCACTATGTAACAATCTTACATAAAGGTTTTGTTTTTGATTTGATAGTATTGGTTTGTTTAACTGAGCAAGTATGTAGAAAAGCGTACGTATCTTTGTTTTTGTGATTGTCACAGTGGTATTTACATAGCTGCCTATTATCG